TTATTCATAATAATTTCTCCAAACCAGCAGGGAACAATCTCCCCAGCCTTCTCTGTAATTCTACATGATTGTTGCTTTTATGGGCTGCAAGGTGGATCGGTGGTTAGCACTGTTGCCTCGCAGCAAGAAGGTCGCCAGTTCGCATTCTGGCGTGGAGTTTGCATGTTCTCTTCAGTGTGGGTTTTCTCCTGATTCTCTGCCTTCCTCCCACACAGTCCAAAAACATCCATTCATCCATCCCTTATCTATACACTGCTTAATCCTCACTAGGGTCGTGGAGGGCTGGAGCCTATCCCAGCTGATTTAGGGCGAAGGCAGGGGACACCCTGGACAGGTCACCAGTCTATCACAGGGCTACACTTAGAGACAGACAACCAAGCACACTCACATTCACACCTATGGACAATTTTTAGAATCACCAATTCATCTCAATATGTTTTTGGACTGTGTGGGAGGAAGCCGGAGAGCCGGCGAAAACCCACGCTGCACGGGGAGAACATGCAAACTCCACACAGAAAGATCCCGGGTGTCCTCACCGGGATGTGAACCGGCTGTGCTAACCATTGAGCCACCTTGCAGCCCAGTCCAAAAACATGTTGAGGTGAATTGGTGATTCTAAATTGGCCATAGGTGTGAATGTGAGTGTGCTTGGTTGTCTGTCTCTAAGTGTAGCCCTGTGATAGACTGGCGACTTGTGCAGGGTGTCCCCTGCCTTCGCTCTAATCAGCTGGGATAGACTCCAGGCCCCTGTGACCTTAGTGAGGATTAAGTGGTGTATAGATAATGGATGGATGGAGTCTATAGTGATATAATCTATCAGTTAATTTTTTTTGTTTTTTGTTTTAACCTGTAAATACAGGATTTAATCAAAACATTTGGATTTTACAAATTTAGTTTTTTTCTGGGCTGCAAGGTGGCGGAGTTGGTAGCACTGTTGCCTCGCAGCAAGAAGGTTGCTGGTTCACGTCCCGGTGGGGGCACTGGAATCTTTCTACGTGGAGTTTGCATGTTCTCCCCGTGCAGTATTGGTTTTTGCTGGTTCTCTGGCTTCCTCCCACACAGTCCACTTGGAACATGACTTTATCTGGTGGTCAGTGTCCAATTCTAGAAACTATGGCAAAATTGCAAATTTCTGAAGAGATCATACCTGTAAATTTAAATGTAAAATCACATGATATCTTTTGGTCAAAATTTTACCTTATTTACTTATTTTTCCTTGAAGTGCCTTTTAAAC